GAACCCCATATATTCAATTTTTGTTGAAATCAAACAAAGTTTAATTTGGACCCCAATTTGGACAAACTTGAAAACTGGGACCGAAATCAAAAATCTAAATACATGTTTAGATTCAGCATATCAAAGAACCCCAAGAATTCAATTTTTGTTAAAATTAAACTGAGTTTAATTTTGGACCCTTTGAACCTTAATGTAGACCAATTTGAAAACTGGACCCTAAATTAAAAATCTAAATACGCGGTTAGATTTGGCATATCAAAGAACCCCAATAATTCAATCTTGATGAAATAAACAAAGTTTAATTTTGGACCCTTTTGACCTCAATATGAACCAATTTGATAGACGGGCCCACAAATAAAAAATCTAAATACATGGTTAGATTCAGCATATCAAAGAACCCCATATATTCAATTTTTGTCGAAATCAAACAAAAGTTTAATTTTGGACCCCAATTTGGATCAACTTGAAAAATGGGCCCGAAATCAAAAATCTAAATACATGTTTAGAATCAGCATATCAAAGAACCCCATATATTCAATTATTGTTAAAATCAAACTAAGATTAATTTTGGACCCTTTGGACCTTAATGTAGACCAATTTAAAAAACTGGACCCAAAATTAAAAATCTATATACACAGTTAGATTTGACATATCAAAGAACCCCAATAATTCAATTTTTGATGAAATAAAACAAAGTTTAATTTTGGACCCTTTTGACCTCAATGTGAACCAATTTGATAGCAGGGCCCACAAATAAAAAAATCAAAATACATGGTTAGATTCAGCATATCAAAGAACCCCATATATTCAATTTTTGTTGAAATCAAACAAAGTTTAATTTTGGACCCCAATTTGGACCAACTTGAAAACTGGGCCCGAAATAAAAAAATCTAAACACATGTTTAGACTCAGCATATCAAAGAACCCCAAGAATTCAATTTTTGTTAAAATCAAACTAAGTTTAATTTTGGACCCTTTGGACCTTAATGTAGACCAATTTAAAAAACTGGACCCAAAATTAAAAATCTAAATACACGGTTAGATTTGGCATATCAAAGAACCCCAATAATTCAATTTTTGATGAAATAAAACAAAGTTTAATTTTGGACCCTTTTGACCTCAATATGAACCAATTTGATAGCAGGGCCCACAAATAAAAAAATCAAAATACATGGTTAGATTCAGCATATCAAAGAACCCCATATATTCAATTTTTGTTGAAATCAAACAAAGTTTAATTTTGGACCCCAATTTGGACAAACTTGAAAACTGGGACCGAAATCAAAAATCTAAATACATGTTTAGATTCAGCATATCAAAGAACCCCAAGAATTCAATTTTTGTTAAAATTAAACTGAGTTTAATTTTGGACCCTTTGAACCTTAATGTAGACCAATTTGAAAACTGGACCCTAAATTAAAAATCTAAATACGCGGTTAGATTTGGCATATCAAAGAACCCCAATAATTCAATCTTGATGAAATAAACAAAGTTTAATTTTGGACCCTTTTGACCTCAATATGAACCAATTTGATAGACGGGCCCACAAATAAAAAATCTAAATACATGGTTAGATTCAGCATATCAAAGAACCCCATATATTCAATTTTTGTCGAAATCAAACAAAAGTTTAATTTTGGACCCCAATTTGGATCAACTTGAAAAATGGGCCCGAAATCAAAAATCTAAATACATGTTTAGAATCAGCATATCAAAGAACCCCATATATTCAATTATTGTTAAAATCAAACTAAGATTAATTTTGGACCCTTTGGACCTTAATGTAGACCAATTTAAAAAACTGGACCCAAAATTAAAAATCTATATACACAGTTAGATTTGACATATCAAAGAACCCCAATAATTCAATTTTTGATGAAATAAAACAAAGTTTAATTTTGGACCCTTTTGACCTCAATGTGAACCAATTTGATAGCAGGGCCCACAAATAAAAAAATCAAAATACATGGTTAGATTCAGCATATCAAAGAACCCCATATATTCAATTTTTGTTGAAATCAAACAAAGTTTAATTTTGGACCCCAATTTGGACCAACTTGAAAACTGGGCCCGAAATAAAAAAATCTAAACACATGTTTAGACTCAGCATATCAAAGAACCCCAAGAATTCAATTTTTGTTAAAATCAAACTAAGTTTAATTTTGGACCCTTTGGACCTTAATGTAGACCAATTTAAAAAACTGGACCCAAAATTAAAAATCTAAATACACGGTTAGATTTGGCATATCAAAGAACCCCAATAATTCAATTTTTGATGAAATAAAACAAAGTTTAATTTTGGACCCTTTTGACCTCAATATGAACCAATTTGATAGCAGGGCCCACAAATAAAAAAATCAAAATACATGGTTAGATTCAGCATATCAAAGAACCCCATATATTCAATTTTTGTTGAAATCAAACAAAGTTTAATTTTGGACCCCAATTTGGACAAACTTGAAAACTGGGACCGAAATCAAAAATCTAAATACATGTTTAGATTCAGCATATCAAAGAACCCCAAGAATTCAACTTTTGTTAAAATTAAACTGAGTTTAATTTTGGACCCTTTGAACCTTAATGTAGACCAATTTGAAAACTGGACCCTAAATTAAAAATCTAAATACGCGGTTAGATTTGGCATATCAAAGAACCCCAATAATTCAATCTTGATGAAATAAACAAAGTTTAATTTTGGACCCTTTTGACCTCAATATGAACCAATTTGATAGACGGGCCCACAAATAAAAAATCTAAATACATGGTTAGATTCAGCATATCAAAGAACCCCATATATTCAATTTTTGTCGAAATCAAACAAAAGTTTAATTTTGGACCCCAATTTGGATCAACTTGAAAAATGGGCCCGAAATCAAAAATCTAAATACATGTTTAGAATCAGCATATCAAAGAACCCCATATATTCAATTATTGTTAAAATCAAACTAAGTTTAATTTTGGACCCTTTGGACCTTAATGTAGACCAATTTGAAAACGGGACCCAAAATGAAAAATCTAAATACATGGTTAGATTCAGCATATCAAAGGACCCCATATATTCAATTTATGTTGAAATCAAACAAAATTTAATTTTGGACCCCAATTTGGACCAACTTGAAAACTGGGCCCGAAATCAAAAATCTAAATACATGTTTAGATTCAGCATATCAAAGAACCCCAAGAATTCAATTTTTGTTAAAATCAAACTAAGTTTAATTTTGGACCCTTTGGACCTTAAAGTAGACCAATTTGAAAACTGGACCCCAAAATTAAAAATCTAAATACACAGTCAGATTTGGCATAACAAATAAATAAATGTGGTCAAAGATTTTACAAATCTAATGCGCCATACTGTGCAATTAAAGATTACTTCTTGAAATTTTTCAATATTTGAAATTTGAAAAAAAAATAATATTTGAAGAATAATTCTTTTTAATTTCTGAAATCTGAAATGAGAAAAATTTGACCCCCCACAATTTCTTTTTACCCCTCCCCCCTCCCCCCCCCCCCCCCTCGCCTTTTCCCCAAAAAAATTCTTTCCCTCAAGATATGGTCATAATCTCAATTCAAATTTCCAATGGAATTTGCAACCATAATTATCCATTCAAATTTACCACAGTGCTATCTTATTCTATTTTATAATAGAATTTAAAATATGGTGTCAAATCTTTCATTTGGATTTTTTTGTAAAAAAAAAAGATGCAACATTTGCAGATATTTTTACTGGTCTTCCTTTATAAATATGCATTTCTTTAAACATAATTTAAAAGCAGTGTAAGGGAAGTAATCAAAACGTTGTACGTGGATTACCTCCCTTACACTGTTTTAAATTGTCTTAATTGTTCATTAACCATTACTTTATACATAATTTAAAAGCAGTGTAAGGGAGGTAATTCTAATGATGAATTTGATTTATCTCCCTTACACTGCTTTAAATTATGTTTTGTACTAAAGTATTTGTCCATATAAAAATGCTTGTTTTTTGCCCCTTTTTTGGCCCCTAATTCCTAAAATTTTGAGGCAATTACCCCCAAAATCAATCCCAGCATTCCCTTTGTGATATGGAACCTTGTGGTACAATGTCAGAGAGATCCATACACTAACACACAAGTTATGTCTGGAAGTTACAAAAATGCTTATTTTTGGCCCCTTTTGGCCCCTAATTCCTTAACTGTTGGTACCATTGCCCCCAAAATCAATCCCCACCTTCCTTTTGTGGTATTGAACCTTATGGTAAAATTTCATTGAGATCCATTCACTTAAACTAAAGTTAGAGTGCGAAAACTAATGTGTCTTCGGACGACGACGCCGGGCGACGACGACGACGCCAACATCATACCAATATACGACCACTAAAATTTTTTGCGGTCGTATAAAAATCACTTTTGTTTCTGAAAGGTCTACAACTCAACAACGAAAAAAGCTAAAATGGTGAAAATTAAACTTGACCTTCATTTAGTCACAGGAAACAACATATCTTAATTTGAAAAGATTTCGTCAAAGCGTTTTCATGTTAATGAACGGACACTGTTTGGCAGCCAAGGCCCCCCCCCCCGCCCACCGCCCTACATCTCCAAATCAAAAACCAAAAAACAATTTATTATTAAAAATTAAGAAAACTTGCTCTCGTCTTGTTTGCTCTAGAATATGAAATAAAAAACATCTGCTAATTTTGTTGAATATTGAAGAAATCACATAATAATAAATTCCTGAATTGAAACATGACAACTAAGCTTAGTTAAAAGCTTGTTAAGTGTGGATTTAGCGCCCCAAATATATGATGTTGTCGAATCAAAATGGTGATAACAAATAATTGCATTAGAATTTTAAATTGTTTGTTTAAAACCAATTTTGTAAGATTTCTCTCCTGAAGTATTTTGGTTTTGCGGCATTTGATTTCTTAGTTTTATATTTCTTTATATTTTGTAACTTATTTTCTACTTGATTCATTCTAAGTGTAAGCGTTTGTAATTCAACACCATATCTATCACTATATGTACCTGTAAGTATTCCATCACTTCTTTATACTGGAGAGATTTATTTTCTGCTGCTAGATCGTATGGCGTCTGACCCTGAAATACAGACAAATCTTTATATTGCTTTCACCTGTTACAAAGAAGGCTTCTGTAACACATAATATCTTACAATTAGTAAGACCAGTAGCAGCTGAGTGGTGATTTTTTTTATCTTAACAGATGCTAACCATATATATATAACTCATGAGACGACATTTCGATTATTTTTCACAATTTTGTGAAGACTTTAAATAGGCTTTTAACTCTTTTTTTTTTAAAGAATCAGAATAAAAGTTCCATCTGTCACCATTTGGTCCTGTTATTTTCTTTGCAGTCTGAAGATTGGTAAATGCATCCTAATGTCTACATGAGGTGTGGATGAGTTTGGGGGTCTTCATTTTTAACTATCTTTTCTAATTTTGTGGGCACATTATTCACAGTTCTTTATATTTTTAACATCCCAATATTATTCTCTATTTTTTATATTTTTGTACCCAATCCTTTTCTATTCATTAATTCTACCCATCCAAACCCTCCTATATCTGTATACCCCATCAAAACCCTCCTATATCTGTATTACCTATCCACACCCTCCTATATCTGTATACCCCATTTAAACCTTCCTATATCTGTATACCCCATCCAAACCCTCCTATATCTGTATACCCGATTTAAACCCTCCTATATATTTGTATTACCCATCCGAACCCTCCTATATCTGTTTTACCAATCCAAACCCTCCTATATCTGTATACCCAATCAACACCCTCTTATACCTGTATTCCCCATCCAAACCCTCCTATATCTGTATACCCCATCCACACCCTCCTATATCTGTATACCACATCTACATCCTCCTATATCTGTATACCACATCTACATCCTCCTATATCTGTATTACCCATCCAAACCCCCCTATATCTGTATACCCAATCCACACCCTCTTATATCTGTATACCCCATCCACACCCTCCTATAGGGAAAACGGTAGTATTTATTCTGCCATAGGCGACAATACTAACATTTTCTAAATTTACCACTTTTTATAATAAAAACCTGGACAAAACAGTTATGTGTGGTATAAGTACTTTATTATTCTGTTTTAAAAATTGAGGTCAAATGTATCATGACCAACTTCCAATGGAGCTTGTTTATGTTATCCATGCCCACCTTCATTTTACACCAAATTTATGAAATTTTGGAAGTCTTTTCGAACAATTCTCTAGAATATATTTCAATGGGTTTCAAAATTTATATTGTAAATATACACACTGCAGTTATTCATAGATAAAAAAAAAATATATATATTGTACCCTAATAAAATCTCAGGTCATAACGCTTACGAACTTTTTTCCAGCTGAATTTAAGTATTTTAGGGGACATTTTTTTATATTTTAAAACAAGCAATTTCCAAACCATGAAAAGTAATGGTAAAGTATTAACTGAAAATAATTTTAAAGTATTATTATCAATGCACTTCTGGCTATGATAGATTAATGTTTAACACTTTAACAATTTCCTTGATTATATTCAATTCACAAGTCACAAGGAGCTCAGTATGCATCTATCATGTCTATCTGTAGAGTTTTATACATTATTTCTAGAGATGATGATGGGGGTTATTAAAGACCTTGACTGGCTATACAGCCCTCGCACGGTAGTTGATATTAGAGTATAATAAAAAAAAGTTAAACATTTAAAGGAAGTAGAGATGAAAAAAACTAGATATCATTGAGATGGGAGCCATCTCTGTGGGCCCCGCTGAGAATAACATGAGGTAAAAAATTTGTATCTTTATCATTGGACATGTGGTTGTCAACTGAAACCAAAGTTTATGACCTTGACCTTTGACCTAGGAAGATGTATATAAATTATGACACACCCTATGGTGTTGGTTTATATACATGTCAAGTATAAACTTTGAAATCATAACAGTTCTCAAGATATAGAGCGGACACGATCTTTACCATAGGACATGGGGTTGTCAACTTAAACCAAAGTTTTTGACCTTGACCTTTGACCTAGGAAGTTGTACATACATTATGACACACCCTCTGGTGTTGGTTTATATACATGTCAAGTATAAACTTTGAAATCATTCCAGTTCTCTAGATATAGAGCAGACACAATTTGTTACAGACGGAAGGACGGACAGATGGACGGACAGATTGATCACTATAGGGCGTCTGCCATTCGGCGAGGCCCTAATAATTTTCAACTATTTATTTTCTAATTGTTCTAAGGTAGAAAAATAATAAGTAATAATCTTATATGTATTTGCATTCAATTTGTTTTAGATTTAACCTTTTTTACAAAAATAAACATAAATTTAAGGAGTATATTGTGAAAGGTGACAAAAAGGTGAAGTAATTAAATTTTTTGTGAAACAACTTTGAAATACACAAATTATTTTTGACCTAAAGCTAAGGTAATTGGTGTTAATTAACAGTGTGTTTGACACCAAAGCTGTCAAATAAAGCCATGCACTGAAATGGGTCACTTAATTTGAGTTTACACAGCTAGTTGAACTTCTTGTAAAGGAAGAATTACGAATTTGCCGGTATTTCAAAGGAAATCAGTCTGAAGGCTAAAGAATCCGGTTGAAAACGGTGTGAAAAAATATTTAAATGGGTTTCAAAATTTATATTGAAAATATACACACTGCAGTTATTCATAGATAAATAAAATAAAGTTAGAGAACGGAAACTAAAAATTCAGCAATTTTTATGTTTATAAAGGGACATAACTCAAGAATGGTAAAAGTGTTCTCACCAAATTTTGTACTTAATCTGTATTATGTAGTAATAAGCATTGTGTATAAGTTTCATAACATTTGGTTGAGGCAAACTAAAGTTCGAAAACGGAAACAAAAAATTTGTACTTGATCTTAGTTTTGTGGTAATGAATATTGTGTATAGGTTTCATAATGTTTGGTTGGGGCAAACTTAAGTTACAGAATGGAAACTAAAAATTTTGCAATCTTTCGATTTACAAAGGGGCATAACTCAATAATGGTTAAAGTGACACTACCCAAATTCAACTTGATCTGTGTTTTATCAGTGGAAGTAAAAATTAAACATTGCTTTGTATAAAGCATTGATTGTAGTTGATTCAACTATAATCATGGACAAAGGAATATAACTCCAATTTCAAAAACTAGTTGATATTTAGAAAAAAATAAAAATTTTGCAATTTTTCCATTTATAAAGGGGTATAACTCTAGAACAGTAAAAGTGACGCCACCAACATTCAAACTTGATCTGTGTTTTACTAAAAATTTTGCATTTTTTCCATTTATAAAGGGCATAACTGGAGAATGGTTAAAGTGACCCCACCAAAATTCAAACTTGATCTTTATTTTGTGGTAATAAGCATTGTGTATATGTTTCATAAAATTTGGTTGAGGCAAACTTAAGTTAGAGAACGGAAACTAAAAATTTTGCAATTTTTCCATGTATAAAGTGGCATAACTCTAGGACGGTTAAAGTGACGACACCAAAATTCAAACTTGATCTGTGTTTTGTGGTAATAAGCATTGTGTATAAGTTTCATAACATTTGGTTGAAGCAAACTCAAGTAAGAGAACGGAAACTAAAATTTTTGTAATTTTTCCATTTATATAAAGGGGCATAACTCTAGAACGGTTAGAGTGATGCTACCAAAATTCAAACTTGATCTGTATTTATTGGTAATAAGCATTGTTATAAGTTTCATAAAATTTGGTTGAAGCAAACTTAAGTTAGAGAACGGAAACTAAAAATTTTCCATTTCCATTTATAAAGGGGCATAACTCTAGAACGGTTAGAGTGACGCCACCAAAATTCAAACTTGATCTCAGTTTTGTGGTAATTAGCATTGTTTATGAGTTTCATAACATTTGGTTAAGGCAAACTCAAGTTAGAGAACAGAAACCAATTTTTGGACGCACGGACGGACGTACGTACGTACGTACTTACAGACGGACAAGGGTAAAACTTATAAAAATATATATTGTACCCTTACATCTAATCACAGCGCTTCTAAGTTGACTTCCTTCACCTGCCTTGGGTACACAAAAGGCCAACCTAAAGCCGGGAAGATGTAATACTACTTTTTTCTCTATATCTGTATACCCAATCCCCATCCTCCTATATCTGTATACCCCATCTATACCCTACCCAATCCACACCCTTCTTTATCTGTATACCCCATCCACACACTCCTATATCTGTATTACCCATCCACTCTTTCCTATATCAGTATTCCCCATCCACACCCTCCTATATCAGTATTTCCAATCCACATCCTCCTGTATCTGTATTACCCCTCCACACCCTTCTCAACCTCTATACCCCATCCACACCCTCCTATATGTGTATACCCGATCCACACCTTCCTATAGGTGTATACCCTATCCATCCCCTCCTATATCTGTATTACCCCTCCACACCCTTCTCAACCTCTATACCCCATCCACACCCTCCTATATGTGTATACCCGATCCACACCTTCCTATAGGTGTATACCCTATCCATCCCCTCCTATATCTGTATTACCCCTCCACACCCTTCTCAACCTCTATACCCCATCCACACCCTCCTATATGTGTATACCCCATCCACACCTTCCTATTCCTGTATATTCCATTCACACTCTCCTATATGTGTATACCCCATCCACACCCTCCTATATGTCTATACCCCATCCACACCCTTCTATATGTGTATACCCCATCTACCCCTCCTATATCTGTATTACCCCTTCACACCCTCCTAAACCTCTATATCCCATCCACACCCTCCTATATGTGTATACCCCATCCACACCATCCTATATGTGTATACCCCATCCTCACCCTCCTGTATGTGTATACCCCATATACACCCTCCTATATCTGTATACCCTATCCACACCCTCCTATGTCTGTATCCACACCCTCCATAAAACTTTTTCATATCTTAAGTTAAATTTAAAGGATCAGATGACTTTTGACTATTGCCTTGAAAAAGAATCAATTTGACCAAATATATCTCATACATCATTTTAGTGATTCATTACTTAATAGTTGAACACTGGGTATATACTATAAAATATTACCTCATGTGTTGTAACCAAGGGACTGGCACCTCCTTCTACTAGACATCTTGTGATCTGTAGATGTCCATACCTAGCAGCCCAATGTAAAGCTGTGTATTCATCCCACTATAATATAACCAAATAACATGTAAATATTATGTACAATACTTTGTTATCAATATCAATAATATACAACATATCCTACAACTGACATTAAAACTGGTCTGATAAACTGGACAATGTTGTGTAATAAATATAAATAAAATATATATCACATGAATCAGTGGTCAAAACTGAATAAAATGACCAGTCACACTTGTATTTATATTCTATATAAACAATAAATAAACATGTTTTGTTGTGAAATGTCAAAACTTCCATTAAACCTGATATCTTCAAAAAAAAAATTTTTCAAGAAATGTGTAAAATAATTATATCAATGGATTCAGTAGAACAAAACGAGTAAAATGAGACCCCACTTTATATGATTCTTACACATATTTGTTCATTAAAACTGTCTAATTAACAACAGGATTTAGTGTAGATTCAGTATAATCATTCATTTTAATAAAATAATTTTTTAAAGAAACCTGAAAAGGAGTAATATTTTCTGATTCAGAACAATAATATGAGTAAAATGAGACCCCACTTGATATAATTATTACAAATATTTGTTCATTAAGCTTGTATGATTAACAACATGATTTTGTGTTGATTAATAGTAATGTGATCAGACTAAGTAGATAACATACTTGTGTGGTGTCGATCTTACATCCTGTATCAATGAGAAGTCTACAGATCTCCAGGTGTCCTACCCTGGCAGCAAACATTAATGCTGTCCATCCAGTACCCTGGAATAATACAACTGACATCAAAACTTGTCTGATAAACTGGACAATGTTGTGAAATAAATATAAACAAAATATATATCACATGAATCAGTGGTCAAAACTGAATAAAATGACCAGTCACACTTGTATTTATATTCTATATAAACAATAAATAAACATGTTTTGTTGTGAAATGTCAACACTTCCATTATTCCTGATATCTTAAAAAAAAAATTTTTTTCAAGAAATGTGTAAAATAATTATATCAATGGATTCAGTAGAACAAAACAAGCAAAATGAGACCCCACTTTATATGATTCTTACACATATTTGTTCATTAAAACTGTCTAATTAACAACAGGAATTAGTGTAGATTCAGTATAATCATTCATTTTAATAAAATAATTTTTTTAAAGAAACATGAAAAGGAGTAATATTTTCTGATTCAGAATAATAATATGAGTAAAATGAGACCCCACTTGATATAATTATTACAAATATTTGTTCATTAAACCCGTCTGATTAACAACATGATTTTGTGTTGATTAATAGTAATGTGATCAGACTAAGTAGATAACATACTATATCTGTGGTGTCGATCTTACATCCTGTATCAATGAGAAGTCTACAGACCTCCAGGTGTCCTCTCTCGGCAGCATACATTAATGCTGTCAATCCATCAACCTGGAATAATACAACCGACATCAAAACTTGTCTGATAAACTGGACAATGTTGTGTAATAAATATAAACAAAATATATATCACATGAATCAGTGGTCAAAACTCAATAAAATGACCAGTCACACTTGTATTTATATTCTATATAAACAATAAATAAACATGTTTTGTTGTGAAATGTCAAAACTTCCATTAAACCTAATATCTTAAAAAAAAATTTTTTTTCAAGAAATGTGTAAAATAAATATATCAATGCATTCAGTAGAACAAAACAAGTAAAATGAGACCCCACTTTATATGATTCTTACACATATTTGTTCATTAAAACTGTCTAATTAACAACAGGATTTAGTGTAGATTCAGTATAATCATTCATTTTAATAAAATAATTTTTTTAAAGAAACATGAAAAGGAGTAATATTTTCTGATTCAGAACAATAAAGTGAGTAAAACGAGACCCCACTTGATATAATTATTACAAATACTTGTTCATTAAAACTGTCTGATTAACAACATGATTTAGTGTAGATTCAGTATAATCATGATAACATTGATAATAGGTATGTTTCACATTCAGTGTTGTGTTTGATAATAGGTATGTTTCATATTCAGTGATGTGCTTTGATAATAGGTATGTTTCACATTCAGTGTTATGTTTGATAATAGGTATGTTTCACATTCAGTGTTGTGTTTGATAACATGCATGTTTCACATTCAGTGTTGTGCTTTGATAATAGGTATGTTTCACATTCAGTGTTGTGCTTTGAGAATAGGTATGTTTCACATTCAGTGTTGTGTTTGATAATAGGTATGTTTCACATTCAGTGTTGTGTTTGATAACATGCATGTTTCACATTCAGTGCTATGTTTGATAATAGGTATGTTTCACATTCAGTGTTGTGTTTGATAATAAGTATGTTTCACATTCAGTGTTGTGTTTGATAACATGCATGTTTCACATTCAGTGTTGTGCTTTGAGAATAGGTATGTTTCACATTCAGTGTTGTGTTTGATAATAGGTATGTTTCACATTCAGTGTTGTGTTTGATAACATGCATGTTTCACATTCAGTGCTATGTTTGATAATAGGTATGTTTCACATTCAGTGTTGTGTTTGATAATAAGTATGTTTCACATTCAGTGTTGTGTTTGATAACATGCATGTTTCACATTCAGTGTTGTGCTTTGAGAATAGGTATGTTTCACATTCAGTGTTGTGTTTGATAATAGGTATGTTTCACATTCAGTGTTGTGTTTGATAACATGCATGTTTCACATTCAGTGCTATGTTTGATAATAGGTATGTTTCACATTCAGTGTTGTGTTTGATAATAGGTATGTTTCATATTCAGTGATGTGCTTTGATAATAGGTATGTTTCACATTCAGTGTTATGTTTGATAATAGGTATGTTTCACATTCAGTGTTGTGTTTGATAATAGGTATGTTTCATATTCAGTGATGTGCTTTGATAATAGGTATGTTTCACATTCAGTGTTGTGTTTGATAATAGGTATATTTCACATTCAGTGTTGTGTTTGATAACATGCATGTTTCACATTCAGTGTTATGTTTGATAATAGGTATGTTTCACATTCAGTGTTGTGTTTGATAATAGGCATGTTTCACATTCAGTTTTATGTTTGATAATTGGTATGTTTCACATTCAGTGTTGTGTTTGATAATAGGCATGTTTCACATTCAGTGTTGTGTTTGATTACAGTGTCTCACATTCAGTGTTGTGTTTGATAATAAGTATGTTTCACATTCAGTGTTGTATTTGATAATAGGTATGTTTCACATTCAGTGTTGTGTTTTGATAATAGGTATGTTTCACATTCAGTGTTGTGTTTGATAATAGGTTTGTTTCACATTCAGTGTTGTGTTTGATAATAAGTATGTTTCACATTCAGTGATGTGTTTGATAACAGGTATGTTTCACATTCAGTGTTGTCTTTGATAACAGGTATGTTTCACATTCAGTGTTGTATTTGATTACAGTGTCTCACATTCAGTGTTGTGTTTGATAACATTCATGTTTCACATTCAGTGTTGTGTTTGATAATAGGTATGTTTCACATTCAGTGTTGTGTTTGATAATAGGTATGTTTCATATTCAGTGATGTGCTTTGATAATAGGTATGTTTCACATTCAGTGTTATGTTTGATAATAGGTATGTTTCACATTCAGTGTTGTGTTTGATAACATGTATGTTTCACATTCAGTGTTGTGTTTGATAATAGGTATGTTTCACATTCAGTGTTGTGTTTGATAACAGTGTTTCACATTCAGTGTTGTGTTCGATTACAGTGTTTCACATTCAGTGTTGTGTTTGATAATAGGTTTGTTTCACATTCAGTGTTGTGCTTTGATTATAGGTATGTTTCACATTCAGTGTTGTGTTTGATAATAGGTATGTTTCACATTCAGTGTTGTGTTTGATAATAGGTATGTTTCACATTCAGTGTTGTGTTTGATTACAGTGTTTCACATTCAGTGTTATGTTTGATAACAGGTATGTTTCACATTCAGTATTGTGTTTGATAACAGGTATGTTTCACATTTAGTGTTATGTTTGATAACATTCATGTTTCACATTCAGTGTTGTGTTTGATAATAGGTATGTTTCACATTCAGTGTTGTGCTTTGATAATAGGTATGTTTCACATTCAGTGTTATGTTTGATAATAGGTATGTTTCACATTCAGTGTTATGTTTGATAATAGGTATCCTTCACATTCAGTGTTTTGTTTGATAATAGGTATGTATCACATTTAGTGATGTGTTTGATTGCAGGCATGTTTCGCTTTGTTTACAGGTATGTCTCACATATTCACTTTTAGTGATGTGCTTTGATTACAGGTATGTTTCAAATTCCCCAATGAACTCTGATTACAGGTAGGTTTTTCATTAAGTGTTGTACTTTGATTGCAGGTAGCTTTCACATTCACTGTTGTATTTTGATCACAGGTCGGATTTACATTGAGTGATATGTACAACCTTGTAGTTGTGTGTTTTATACTTTTTATGTACAACCTTGTAGTTGTGTGTTTTATACTTTATATGTACAACCTTGTAGTTGTGTGTTTTATATGTACAACCTTGTAGTTGTGTGTTTTATACTTTATATGTACAACCTTGTAGTTGTGTGTTTTATAATTTTATGTACAACCTTGTAGTTGTGTGTTTTATACTTTTTATGTACAACCTTGTAGTTGTGTGTTTTATACTTTATATCTACAACCTGGGGTGTTTTTAAGTGACTTGACTTGTATTTTTGTACTGTAATAATTGGTTATTTTGAAATGTCTTATAGTTGTGTTTTTTATTCTTTTATGCATTTTCTTACTGTCATGTTTGAGTGACTTTTTTTTATGTGTTTTATTCTGTTTCTGTTCTTACTGTCATGTTTAAGTGACTTATATCTATGTGTTTTATTCTGTTTCTGTTCTTACTGTCATGTTAAAGTGACTTATATTTATGTGTTTTATTCTGTTTATGTTCTTACTGTCATGTTTAAGTGACTTATATTTATGTGTTTTATTCTGTTTATGTTCTTACTGTCATGTTTAAGTGACATATTTATGTGTTTTATTCTGTTTATGTTCTTACTGTCATGTTTAAGTGACTTATATTTATGTGTTTTATTCTGTTTATGTTCTTACTGTCATGTTAAAGTGACTTATATTTATGTGTTTTATTCTGTTGATGTTTTTACTGTTATGTTTTGAAGTGACTAACAGTTGTGTGTTTTATTCTGTTGATGTTCTTACTGTCATGTTTTGAAGTGACTAACAGTTATGTTTTTATTCTGTTGATGTTCTTACTATCATGTTTTGAAGTGACTAACAGTTGTGTGTTTTATTCTGTTTTTGTTCTTACTGTTATGTTTTGAAGTGACGTACAGTTGTGTGTTTTATTCTGTTGATGTTCTTACTGTCATGTTTTGAAGTGACTAACAGTTATGTTTTTATTCTGTTGATGTTCTTACTATCATGTTTTGAAGTGACTAACAGTTGTGTGTTTTATTCTGTGTATGTTCTTTCTGTTATGTTTTGAAGTGACTTACAGTTGTGTGTTTTATTCTGTTTATGTTCTTACTGTCATGTTTTGAAGTGACTAACAGTTGTGTATTTTATTCTGTTGATGTTCTTACTGTCATGTTTTCAAATGACTAACAGTTGTGTGTTTTATTCTGTTTCTGTTCTTACTGTCATGTTTTGAAGTGACTAACAGTTGTGTGTTTTATTCTGTTGATGTTTTTACTGTCATGATTTGAAGTGACTAACAGTTGTGTGTTTAATTCTGTCAATGTTCTTACTGAAATGTTTTGAAGTGACTAACAGTTGTGTTTTATTCTGTCAATATTCTTACTGAGATGTTTTGAAGTGACTACCAGTTGTGTGTTTTATTCTGTTTATGTTCTTACTGTCATGTTTTGAAGTGACTAACAGTTGTGTGTTTTGTTCTGTTGATGTTCTTACTGACATGTTTTGAAGTGACTAACAGTTGTGTGTTTTGTTCTGTTGATGTTCTTACTGACATGTTTTGAAGTGACTAACAGTTGTGTTTTATTCTGTCAATATTCTTACTGAGATGTTTTGAAGTGACTACCAGTTGTGTGTTTTATTCTGTTTATGTTCTTACTGTCATGTTTTGAAGTGACTAACAGTTGTGTGTTTTGTTCTGTTGATGTTCTTACTGTCATGTTTTGAAGTGACTTACAGTTGTGTATTTTATTCTGTTGATGTTCTTACTGTCATGTTTTGAAGTGACTAACAGTTGTGTATTTTATTCTGTTTATGTTCTTACTGTCATGTTTTGAAGTGACTAACAGTTGTGTGTTTTATTCTGTGTATGTTCTTACTGTCATGTTTTGAAGTGACTAACAGTTGTGTGTTTTATTCTGTGTATGTTCTTACTGTTATGTTTTGAAGTGACTAACAGTTGTGTGTTTTATTCTGTTTATGTTCTTACTGTCATGTTTTGAAGTGACTAACAGTTGTGTATTTTATTCTGTTGATGTTCTTACTGTCATGTTTTGAAATGACTTTTAGAAACGTATTTTATTCTGTATATGTTCTTACTGTTTGTTCTTACTGTAATGCTTTGAAGTGACTAACAGTTATGTGTTTTATTCTGTTTATGTTCTTACTGTCATGTTTTGAAGTGACTAACAGTTGTGTGTTTTATTCTGTGTATGTTCTTACTGTTATGTTTTGAAGTGACTAACAGTTGTGTGTTTTATTCTGTTTATGTTCTTACTGTCATGTTTTGAAGTGACTAACAGTTGTGTATTTTATTCTGTTGATGTTCTTACTGTCATGTTTTGAAATGACTTTTAGAAACGTATTTTATTCTGTATATGTTCTTACTGTTTGTTCTTACTGTAATGCTTTGAAGTGACTAACAGTTATGTGATTTATTCTGTTTATGTTCTTACTGTCATGTTATGAAGTGACTAACAGTTGTGTATTTTATTCTGTTTATGTTCTTACTGTTATGTTTTGAAGTGACTAACAGTTGTGTATTTTATTCTGTTTATGTTCTTACTGTTATGTTTTGAAGTGACTAACAGTTATGTGTTTTATTCTGTTGATGTTCTTACTGTCATGTTTTGAAGTGACTAACAGTTGTGTGTTTTATTCTGTATATGTTCTTACTGTTTGTTCTTACTGTAATGCTTTGAAGTGACTAACAGTTATGTGTTTTATTCTGTTTATGTTCTTACTGTCATGTTATGAAGTGACTAACAGTTGTGTGTTTTATTCTGTTGATGTTCTTACTGTCATGTTTTGAAGTGACTAACAGTTGTGTATTTTATTCTGTTTATGTTCTTACTGTTATGTTTTGAAGTGACTAACAGTTATGTGTTTTATTCTGTTTATGTTCTTACTGTCATGTTTTGAAGTGACTAACAGTTGTGTGTTTTATTCTGTATATGTTCTTACTGTTTGTTCTTACTGTAATGCTTTGAAGTGACTAACAGTTATGTGTTTTATTCTGTTTATGTTCTTACTGTCATGTTTTGAAGTGACTAACAGTTATGTGTTTTATTCTGTTTATGTTCTTACTGTCATGTTATGAAGTGACTTACAGTTGTGTGTTTTATTCTGTTTATGTTCTTACTGTCATGTTATGAAGTGACTAACAGTTGTGTGTTTTATTCTGTTTATGTTCTTACTGTCATGTTATGAAGTGACTAACAGTTGTGTGTTTTATTCTGTTTATGTTCTTACTGAGATGTTTTGAAGTGACTAACAGTTGTGTGTTTATTCTGTTTATGTTCTTACTGATATGTTTTGAAGTGACTAACAGTTGTGTATTTTATTCTGTTTATGTTCTTACTGTTATGTTTTGAAGTGACTAACAGTTGTGTGTTTTATTCTGTTCATGTTCTTACTGTCATGTTTTGAAGTGACTAACAGTTGTGTGTTTTATTCTGTTTATGTTCTTACTGTCATGTTTTGAAGTGACTAACAGTTGTGTGTTTTATTCTGTTTATGTTCTTACTGTTATGTTTTGAAGTGACTAACAGTTGTGTGTTTTATTCTGTCAATGTTCTTACTGTCATGTTTTGAAGTGACTTGCAGTTGTGATTTATACTGTATTAATCTGCTGTATTGTTAACCAGCAAGGTTAAAGTTATTTAAAGTAAGTGTTTTATACTGTTTATGTTCAACTGTCAGGTTTTGAAGTAACATGCAATTGTATTTCATTTTATTACAATTTGCTGTATTTTGAAGTAACATGTAGTTATGTGATTTATATTGCTCAAGTAAGATCTACTATATTCTTAAGTTATCTGTAGTTGTGCGTTTTGTTTTTTACTGTACATAGTTAATTTGCTCTAGTACTAATTTGGATGTTACTACTGTACCTAATGAGACTGTTTTACCTACATCTTGATAATCAATGTCTGCTTTATTCACTAGGCTTAGTTTTAAAGCTTCTATATCTCCATTCTCAGCATCTGCAAGAAGTTTCTGTAAGCAAAACATAGATTTTACATTTAATAGATTGTAATGAAAAATAAATAAAACAACTGTTAAATAAAGCAATAATTATTTATTATCCTGCATGACAAATAACTATATAAATCGGGGGTATCCTCACTTCAAATAACATTCAGGCAGAGAGGATATGTACCGATTATCAGGTTGCCTGCATATTGACATTGTTAAGAATCAGCTGTGATTCACAATATGAAGCTTTTTTCATGGGAGCACAGCGAATGAGTTCAGAGGCTTCATATTGTGTGGAGCAGCTGACATTTTACAATAAAAATTAAATATCATCAAAATGATGGCAATCTGTAAATTGATTTATCGGATTGTATTTGTGTATTTTGCATTATAGAAACAAGTGTTTTCTTTGTTTCAACAGCAAACCGGAAAATGACTTGATAAGTTCGGGTCAAACTTATCCTTTCCTTGAGATATTATGGTGTCTGGGAGACACAAATGATGCCCTCACAGATGCAAAGTGTTATTTTAACATACACAAAGTTGAGCATGAGAGCACATAGGTCTATGGTTCACTGTAGGAGGAGTTATCTGGAAACGCTATGCGCCTCTTAAATATGCAAATATATACTCCAAAAATGATAGAGTTCAACTATTTCCCAAAAGAGCAAATATTAATCAAAATCTAAACCCTGACGACATGCACACCTTCAATATATGTTCAAACAGCCAGCAAAGTTAAAACTTCCTAGCATTCAAACTGTAGGAGGAGTTATTTGGAATAACTATATACCCATAATGGGACGGAAGGACAGACAGGGGTAAAACAATATGCCCCCAACTTTCAGTTGATGGGGCATAAAAAAAACTTTTGGATAACAATTTGTTATGACAATGTGCGTTGTGTCAATTTACACTTTATACCATAAAATAGATATGTTTTTTTTCAACTAACGAACTCAACAATTGCAAGAGGAGAGAACTTCTGTATTTTTAATTTATCAAAAATTGTCCAATAGTTTCTCTAACAACTCAATAGGGTTATGTATTTGACATTGTAAACAAGCATTCTGAAGGTACTAGATATAGAATAAACCTTAAGAGAGTGTATACACTTATATTTAAAAAACATTCGATACATTTCTGAAAATGAAAAAACCTAAAACACTAAACTGCCACTAAATTATGCATGATAATCAGCTCCAAGTTACTGACACCATGACCTCAGAGGATTTCTGGCAAGTTACTAATGATTTATAAAAAATAAATGGGGAATGTGTCTATGGGAAACAGATGATGCCCCCGCTTTCATATAACGTTATAAAGGGCCATAACTCAAGAACTGTAAAAGTGACACTATCCAAATTTGAACTTGATCTGAGTTTTGTGGTAATAAGAATTGTTTATAAGTTTCATAACATTTAGTTGACGTAAACTTAAATTAGAGAACAGAAACGAAAAATTCAGCAATTTTTCCATTTTTAAAGGGGCATAACTCTAGAACAGTAGAATTGACGCCACCAAAATTCAACCTTCATCTGTTTTTTGTGGTTATTAGCATTGTGCATAAGTTTCATAACATTTGGTTGAGGCAAACTAAAGTTAGAGAACAGAAACAAATATTTCAGCAATTTTGAGATTTGTAAAGGGGCATAACTCTAGAACGGTAAAAGTGACGACAACAAAATTCAAACTTGATCTGTGTATCATGGTAATTAGCATTGTGCATAACATTTGGTTGAGGCAAACTAAAGTTAGAGAACAAAAACTAATATTTCAGCAATTTTTCCATTGGAAAGGGGCATAACTCTAGAATGGTAAAAGTGATGCCACCAAAATTCAAACTTGATCTCTGTTTTGTGGTAATAAACATTGTGGATAAGTTTCATAACATTTGGTAGAGGCAAACTAAAGTTAGAGAACGGAAACGAAAAATTCAGCAATTTTTCCATTTGTAAAGGGGCATAACTCTCGAACGGTAAAAGTGATGCCACCAAAATTCATACTCGATCTGTGTTTTGGGGTAATAAGCATTGTGAATAAGTTTCATATCATTTGGTTGAGGCAAACTAAAGTTAGAAAACAGTAACCAATTTTGGGACGTACGGACGGACGAACAAGGGTAAAACTTAATGCCCTCTCCGCTATGGCTGGGGCATAAAAATAAAACAGGCAAGAAATTTCATGCAGTTTATGGCTATCTTTGCTATGAGTTGTTATTAGCAACACCTTAGTCAAATGTTTGTAGTACATTTTTCTTTGTCCCAATCTTTGTTGTGTTTGTTTTATCTTTGATCTTGTAATATCTTTTTTGTAGGTCACGTAGAATTCTACTAGTTTGTATCTCAAATCGTCACATACATGTATTTTTGGTAAGAAAATGGAAATAAAAGTTCACATGACAATTGGACTTAAAAGTAAATCTTACCTCATTCCAATTTTCCATTATATCCTAAAAATAGAAAAAAAAAATATTTCAAATATATACTGTTGTAGTTATCATTGAGTTATAATTGTTAATGCCAATTGAAAATACATGATCATTATGGACTTGAAAATTACTGACCTAATATTTTCAGATATTAATCTAATCCAAAAACATGTAAATCTAGCATCTAAAAGACTATCTCAACTTTTCTGCACTATTTGAAATTTGTGTCGCTCACCTGGTGAAAATATCGCTAGTTTGCTCACTACGATTTTTATATGCACATACTAGCTATTCTTTGTGTTGCTGATAATTTTTTGCAATTTACATATTTAACCTAGGTCCTATAGGTTTTTAGATAACAGCAGGGGTTAAAAAAAATTGTTACAGGTAACTAGCCCAGGACTTATTTGCAGCAGGATTTTACTAGCCCTGTTGGAAGAACTGCTAGCCCATCAAAACTGACCTGCTAGCCCGAGAATGCTTTACAAATCAGTTTGCTGCATAATTACAAAGTGGGTGTCCCTTGTTTTGAAGGCAGCATTATACACTGTATTTAATAATTTTTGTTGACCTGCTTTTTATTCTGTTGGTCCCACATACAGAGCAGACTTTTTATTGGCGTGCTCGGGAAAATATTCTCTGGGTGTTTTTTCATCAGCAACACGGCCTACCTTGCCCAGTGGGAATCTTTCTTTCCGGGACACTATTCCGCTTTTCCCGGTCGTATTTGGCATTTTTTGGGGATGAATTGTCAGTCTCATTACCCCTTTCATCTACAGTTTTTCGTTTTAAAACTGACGAAGTTCCTGGGGTGCCCGTACTTAAATATTTAGAAATATTTGGTTGCATGGATTGGTTTCGTTCTCAACAGCTGTCCGACAAGACATGTTAATACGGATCAATACATCACCCAGTACCGTTAATTGAACATCTTGGCATAAGAAATCTACAATACCCTGTACTGTTGTACTGAGAAATCGATATTTAAAGTACGAAAATTGCGATCAATACATGATACCAGGCCACCCAGAGTTATTTGTTCTAGTTTTAAAATATGTACAACAGGACCTGTACAAACCAGTTCAAATTCTTGGAATCCCGGATGACGTAATTGAATCTGATTGGCTAAGATAGAATAGTGATGAAGGGATTTTCCACTTTCTATTTTGGAAACGCCAAGAATTTTTTGTTACCAGTCCGTCGGGCATATTGGGTTAAAAATTTTGATTGCCCGAGGCGTAAATGCTCAAGTCCCGGGCGTCGGGCTAGTGGATTTTTTAACCCCTGAATAGCCAAAACTACAAACATGAGTACACGCGCTGAAATGTCTCGCCTTCTTTACTGACCATTTATGTTGATATTCCTTAATATAAAGTTTTACTACAAGTATCACATGAACTTAATATGATCAAAGAAATGAGGTCAAGGTTAGATAAACCAAGCCAGAAATACATGTACATCTTACAATCATTCCATACACCAAATATAGTTGACCTTTTGCTAGTAGTATACAAGACAGACCAAATCATTAAAATTTTATATTGACAAATGAACCATGAAAAAAGGGTAAAGGACAGATGAACCCTGTCAGACAGACATATACACCTTACAATCATTCCATGGATCAAATATAGCTGACCTATTGCATATAGTATTTAAGGAAAAAACTAAACCAGGAAAACATCATAATGACCAATGAACCATGAAAAAGATGTCAAGTTGAGATGATACCTGCAAGAAAGGTTTTCCTGTTCGAATTGTTTTGCACTGGTCATTTTTGGGTCTTTATAGCTTGCTGTTCAGTGTGAGCCAAGGCTCCGTGTTGAAGGCCTTCTTTACTAATCATTGATATTATGTTGATAGTCCTAAATATAAAGCTTTATTACAACTGTCACATAAACTTAACATTAACCAAGTAAACTAAACATTGACCAATGAACCATGAAAATGAGGTCAAGGTCGGATGAACCATGCTAGGCAGGCATGTACAGCTAACAATTCTTCCATACAACAAATATGGTTGACCTATTGCTTATAGTTTAAGAAAAACAGACCAAAACACAAAAACTTAAAACTGAGCAATGAACCTTGAAAATGAGGTCAAGGTCAAATAAAACCTGCGTGACTGACATATAGATCATAAAATATTTCCATACACCAAATGTAGTTGAACTATTGCATATAGTATTAGAAAAAAAGATCAAATCTCAAAAACTTAACTTTGACCACTGAACCATGAAAATGAGGTCAAGGTCAGATGACACCTGCCAGCTAGACATGTACACCTTACAATCGTTCCATACACCAAATATAGTAGACCTATTGCATGCAGTATTAGAAAAAAAGACCAAAACTCAAAAACTTAACTTTGACCCTGAACCATGAAAATGAGGTCAAGGTCAGATGACACCTGCCAGCTAGACATGTACACCTTACAGTCATTCCATACACCAAATAGTGTAGACCTATTGCATACAGTATAAGAAAAACAGACCAAAACACAAAAATTTAACTATAACCACTGAACCATGAAAATGAGGTCAAGGTCAGATGACACCTGCCAGCTAGACATGTACACCTTACAATCATTCCATACACCAAATATTGTAGACCTATTGCATACAGTATAAGAAAAACAGACCAAAACACAAAAACTCAACGATAACCACTGAACCATGAAAATGAGGTCAAGGTCAGATGACACCTGCCAGCTAGACATGTACACCTTACAATCCTTCCATACACCAAATATAGTAGACCTATTGCATACAGTATAAGAAAAACAGACCAAAACACAAAAACTTAACTATAACCACTGAACCATGAAAATGAGGTCAAGGTCAGATGACACCTGCCAGCTAGACATGTACACCTTACAATCATTCCATACACCAAATATTGTAGACCTATTGCATACAGTATAAGAAAAACAGACCAAAACACAAAAACTCAACTATAACCACTGAACCATGAAAATGAGGTCAAGGTCAGATGACACCTGCCAGCTAGACATGTACACCTTACAATCCTTCCATACACCAAATATAGTAGACCTATTGCATACAGTATAAGAAAAACAGACCAAAACACAAAAACTTAACTATAACCACTGAACCATGAAAATGAGGTCAAGGTCAGATGACACCTGCCAGTTGGACATGTACACCTTACAGTCCTTCCATACACCGAATATACTAGACCTATTGCTTATAGTATCTGAGATATGGACTTGACCACCAAAACTTAACCTTGTTCACTGATCCATGAAATGAAGTCGAGGTCAAGTGAAAACTGTCTGACGGGCATGAGGACCTTGCAAGGTACGCACATACTAAATATAGTTATCCTATTACTTATAATAAGAGAGAATTTAACATTACAAAAAATCTTAACTTTTTTTTCAAGTAGTCACTGAACCATGAAAATGAGGTCAAGGACATTGGACATGTGACTGACGGAAACCTCGTAACATGAGGCATCCATATACAAAGTATGAAGCATCCAGGTCTTCCACCCTCCAAAATATAAAGCTTTTAAGAAGTGAGCTAACGCCGCCGCCGCCGGATCACTATCCCTATGTCGAGCTTTCTGCGACAAAAGTCGCAGGCTCGACAAAAAACTGAGTAAAAAGATCTTGTCATGCTGATCGTAATTGTAGTTTACACTTTTAACCTCTAGCTCCTATAGTTTTCCAAATAACAGGCAAAAATGAAAACTAGAGGCTCTAAAGAGCCTGTGTCGCTCACCTTGGTCTATGTGCATATTAAACAAAGGACACAGATGGATTCATGACAAAATTGTGTTTTGGTGATGGTGATGTGTTTAGGTGATGGTGATGTGTTTGTAGATCTTACTTTACTGAACATTCTTGCTCCTTACTATTATCTCTATCTATAATGAACTTGGCCCGGTAGATACAGTGGAAAATACTTTGTAAAAATTTACAAAAATTTACAAAATTAATGAAAATTGTAAAAAAATGACTATAAAGAGCAATAACTCCTTAAGGGGTCAATTGACAATTTTGGTCATGTTGCCTTATTTGTAGATCTAACTTTGCTGTACATTATTGCTGTTTACAGTTTATCTCTATCTATAATAATATTCAAGATAATAACCAAAAGCTGCAAAATTTTCTTAAAATTACCAATTCAGGGGCAGCAACCCAACAATGTGTTGCCTGATTGGTCTGAAAATTTCAGGGCAGATAGATCTTGACCTAATGAACAATTTTACCCCCATGTCAGATTTGCTCTAAATGCTATGGTTTCAGAGATATGAGCCAAAAACTGCATTTTACCCTATGTACTATTTTTTAGCCATGTCGGCCATCTTGGTTCACGGGCGGGGTCATCCGTCACATTTTTTAAACTAGATACCCTAATGATGATTGTGGACAAGTTTGGTTAAATTTGTCTTAGTAGTTTCAGAGGAGAAGATTTTTGTAAAAAATTACAAAAATTTACGAAAAATGGTTAAAAATTGACTATAAAGGGCAATATCTCCTTAAGGGGTCAACTGACAATTTTGGTCAAGTTGACTTATTTGTAGATCTTACTTTTCTGAACATTATTGCTGTTTACAGTTTATCTCTATCTATAATAATATTCAAGATAATAACCAAAAACGGCAAAATTTCCTTAAAATTACCAATTCAGGGGCAGCAACCCAACAACGGGTTGCCTGATTGGTAAGAAAATTTCAGGGCAGATAGATCTTGACCTAATGAACAATTTTATACTCAACAGATTTGCTCTAAATGCTTTGGTTTCAGAGATATGAGCCAAAAACTGCATTTTACCCTATGTACTATTTTTTAGCCATGTCGGCCATCTTGGTTCACCGGCGGGGTCATCGGACACATTTTTTAAACAAGATACCCTAATGATGATTGTGGACAAGTTTGGTTAAATTTGTCTTAGTAGTTTCAGAGGAGAAGATTTTTGTAAAAGATTACAAAAATTTACGAAAAATGGTTAAAAATTGACTATAAAGGGCAATAACTCCTTAAGGGGTCAACT